GAATGCTTCACGGTTCGAGTGGGGCAGTCAAGTCTGCGCAGTAAAAAGGACACATAGAATTTAAAAACAGGAATTACGTAGACAGTCACCAGATTATATCGTGTCAGTTCGACCGTCGGGAGCGATGATATCTATCGTGTGTCCCACAACAAGGCGGACGTAAAACGGCGACTTGTACGTGAATTAGTTTGTGATTAAGGCGGACTTACACTGCACCTACCGCACTCTCTCCTCCCTCACCCAACTGTGCCCCATATCAATGCGCAGTCGGAACAATCGATGGTAGACTCGGGTCCAGCGACCAACATACAGTTCGTGACCTATCTGATGAAAGGTCACGAACTGTGAACTTAAATCGCTGTAGCGCACGATATGCCCACCCCGCATCCACGAAAATCATGCTGCGTCAAATATACGACCGAGCTTCAAAACAAGGCATGTTTGGTTTATAAAGTATTATTTATTGATTAAGAAATAACTTATTTTAGGGAAAACCACCAAATCAAAAAATCGACTGTATGACAGGCCAACTATTCAGGGTCATATTTAACTGTCAGCAGAGAAGGGAAATTTCACAAAACGACAAAAAATGAAAAAAAGTAACAAATACAAAGTATTAGTACTGCCCCTATACGCGTGACATGCACGACCTGGTTTGCCTAAAATGGGCCGGATTTCTTCACAGGAACCAGAAGCGGCTCGGATCCCACCCCAGTGGCAGTAGCATGGAGGTCACATTCAAGAGGAGCCACTGCGGGCTCAATGTCTCCCTTATGAAAGGATCGATTTATCGCGTTAGTTGACAGTCTTCCAAGCCACGACGTTTGGCATGTCGGGACGGTTTGAAAGGGCGTGAAAATGTTTACTATGAACAGCTCTGTGAGGAAGGAGTTCCCAGAGGCAGCCACACTCTCCCTCTTCCCCATCCCAATATCAGTCAGCAGTTAGACCCTGTCGGCCATCTGGCGCTGAGATGTGTAGGTTTTATGTTTTAACCATAGAAATAACCAGAGATCGAGTGGACGCAAGGACGGGACGTGATGCCCGCCTCCGTTCTAACTTTTTGGATTTTTCTCGACGAAATTGCACACTGTCGTCGGATATAATGCCTTCCGCCATGTCTCTGTGCACCCTCTGTTCCCATCGTCCTTCTAGTAAGGCTCAATTTTCCAGCAGCTCTGTGTCAGTACCCTATGCCGGCCTGTTGTATTCATTTCTGACTTGTCCCTGTTGTTAACTAGTTCACGTCCTTGTATCTGCCTGCTTGCTCGAATTAAGCCATGAACGTCTACAGTCCAGACGGATCCAGTACACGACCTACGCGCAATGTAGCCTCACTGTCTCCCAGGACCTTTTTGGACGGCTGTTGGGAACCCCCTACCGACGAGTTGTCAGCCAAATACGCATTACTGGGATTGTCTCACAGGCCGATAGACAGGGGCTTAGTGCATTTGGCCAAAATTGTGTGTTGACCCTTAATTTGGGACAGGGTGGGGCATTTGACTAACGGCAGACGCCCCGACGTACACGCGGTGTGTGAAGAGTCACAACACGCTCGTATGCAGCTGTGTAACAAGGAGTGTCAGTTTTGCGCGCGTGTCTACTGACTCAGCTGCGAACTTGTGACACATCGACATTGAAGTTCGCGTGGCGTTACCAGCCCCTTTTCATTTCCCAAATTAACGTCCCCCCGCCCTGGTTGCAGTGGCCTACGTGCGTATGGCTGCTTGCACTTGAATGCAACTTCTCCGTAACGACTGGGCTGCTTTGTCTTTGGACAGTTGTTCTAGCCCTAACGACGTCAGAAATGCGCAAAAAAGACGGGTGTGTTTAAGAAGAGCCAGACACGAACTGATGAAGGTGCCAGATGCTCTTGTAGCCCCAGCTCGTAATCTTCCAGCAGTCACCCTTAGTTTCCATCTGACGTCTTCCGCGTCTTGAAAATCGTGAAGGATACGAGCCCATCTGTGGTGAGGTACCTGACTAATTTACCTTTGACAATTTAGTCCCATTTCCTTTGACCGCATTGCTTGTTTGAATGTGACGAGATACGACACACCTGTACAACCCGCCTTGCTAGCGTGCTCTGCTGTGGTATTCTGTTGTC